AAACCATACAGTGATTAGTGAAACACCAGAGAAAGCAAATGTACCTAATGCATGCATCTCTCATGAATAAAAATCCTAAGTTGTTGCATCCTAGCTTACAAGAGAAGTTCCTCCCAAGAAGATCCCTGAGAATTACAAAGTAGGCAAGTGAAGTTCTGAATCTTTTAGGACAAACAATGCTAGAAAAAAAATAATAAAAAAAAATTATATTCTAAGAAATATCTACAAGCGTCCCTTTAAGTTTTAAAATCTGCACGACTGTGAATCTCTGGAGAACATCCTTTAATATGTGCAGAAAACTTGCTATAGGTCTATTTTTTACCTAAAGAATTACAGCTTTTAGCTATTCCAATAGAACTTGATATACTTGGATGGCTTTCTTCATTCCTAAGGCCTAGATAATTACCCTTGCAAGAAAACGAATACTGTTCATGACTTGAATGCTAAGGCAGTTCATTGCCAAGAGATCAAATAAAGCTATTATTCAGCAGACTCAACATTATTCTGTGAGCTCTGACATACAAATGTAATGGATCCAATCTGACAATGCTTTGGGAAAATCATTTAGCTTAATATTCAGCCTTCATCCTAACATAACTGTAATCTTTATCAAAATTGCCAATACAAAAAAATGCTGCTCATCAGCCTTGGGTTTTGATATCTGATTAAAAACTGGAGCTTTATACTAGAAACCCTGTTGTAAAGAATCACATTTCATGGCTCGACTGCTTTTATCTATATCAGCTTAGCAGAGAGTCCACCTTCTAATTTTAAAGTACTACATGGCCAAATGTCAGTCACAACAAGTTCAGACACTGTTATGTAGGAGTTTAATACTACAGTAAGTCAAATGATTCTAACCTTTTAGTGTACTACTAAAAATCACCTCCTCGATTGGTGATTCCTCTATCTCACTACAGCATATACATTTTTTAAATGCATTAGTGCTGGGTATATGCCCTGTCCTCTGAAATTTTAGTTTGTGAATTTTATTTACACATATATGGTGCCATAAGTGTTTAGTCAGCAAAAAGACAATTTGTTGGACTCCATGATCTTACAGGGGCATCAATTGAGAAGGGGGGAGGGCAGTTGCCTCCCTAGATTTTGTTTGGCGCCCCTGAAGTTCTGGCTTTTCTGCCCATGGGACACAATTTTAGACTAAATTACACCATAATAAGTCTGGTTATAGCTCACTTTCCTTCTCCCCTAAAAAAAGCTGAAATGAAGCACCTGTGATCTTGCCAGATTCTTTGAAGTTTAGGATTTTTTCTTATAGCATTAATACTGTTACCACCATCATAATCATACTAACAGTGTGACTATTATATTATTATTATCAATACCTACAGCAAAAACAATATTTTCTAAAATCTCAGATAATCATCTACAAGGTGACCAAACACTTGTGGATACATCAAAATGTAAGTAAAATTTACACACTAAATAACAGTGGAAATGGCAAGTGTGTACAGTGTCAATGGGTTAATGTTGCATCAAATGAGTACAAGCAAGCAAAATCTAGGCACACAATGATAATAGAATAACAAGAAGCGTTTGTAAAAAATCTCCCATAATCAAAATAAATTAAGTTCTTTCTAATCATAATGAGTCTGAATACATAGCTACTCCAGTTAAAATCCTGAGACTTCTGGAAGAGCAAAGAGATATCTAAACATAGCAGTCTGATGAAGGTGCAAACTCACTCACTTTCTCAGCAGTAAAGCCATCTAAACTTTGCAGTAATATTCATCAATTATGGCTTAGAGAGCCCCTCTTTTCAGCAACAGATTTCTCTTCAAATTACTTAGTAAGAGCACAAACCCCAAGAAACTTAGGCTACGTTTTTTAAAATAAAAATATCAGTAATTTCATTATTCATCTGACCAATCACATAAAATATTCCTGTTCCATTCATACTCAATCTGCTCATTAACTTTCTGGACCAAGAAGCAGATAAAGGCACTTGTGAAGTCAAAAAAATAATAATAATAAAATAAAAAATAAATAAATAAATAAATAAACAAATAAATAAAAGTACTATAATGACTGCCCCTTGCACACCATATAAATGTTCCAGGAATAAAGAAATGAAAAACTGTGCATGTTAATAAAATAAAGCTTGAACTTAAATGAAAGGTATTTCTAAACTTTCAATCTAATCATAAACAGTCACTTTTAATATGGAATGAGACATGCAATTACTCAATGGATAAACAATACTGTATTGAAAAATAATCATAAAAAGAAAAAAAAAAAAAATTCAAAAAGGGTTTCCCAGAGCAGCCAGTGCAGACATGAATTTACTTGCAATGAGAACGGTTTTAAATAAATGCGCTTCAAAAAATAGGAATCTCATTATCCATGGGTAATGCAAATAGAGCAATAACAAATGATTTTGTGTGCATGTGATCATCACAAATATGAATACAATAAGTGATAACTAGAACCAGTGAGTTAGAGGGTGCTTCTACATTCCCTTTGAAACCCCTTTTCTGGCATCATAATCCACATAACTCTCAGGATCTATAATGCTTTACAAATGATTAAACGAAAGAGATTTCTATTTCTAAAAATGTCCAAATGGATGAAAATATTAAAAATGTGTGTTCCTTCAAGTAAAATAATCAGCTCAAAAAGAGTTAGAATTATGAAGATTCCAAACTGATGCTGGAGCTCCTTTATCTCTAAGTTTGCCCACAAGCGAGACAAGTGTTCAGACATATTCTCACCCACAAGGAGATGCACATTAATTCCCCTGCATTATGTGAGTAGCTAATATATGAAACTAAATCTTTCAATAAATATCAAGAAAGAGATAACATTTATATCAGTAAAGAGTAAATTACTATATTTCTTCAGCATATGGCATGGCATCTAAATGTCTGATGTACACTAAGAATGCTTGATGATGTGTACACTTAAGATTAAAACTGTACAAGGAGTCTTAGAGATAATCTGAGGTTATGAGTGTTCTACCATATAATACTGTGCAGCTGTATAGAAAAAAATATAATAACAATATTAATCTTCTACTAACAAGGATGAGAAATGAAAAGTAATTAAAGCAGTTTCCTTTATACTGTCTAAAGGAAAAGGGAGTTGAATCAAACACTGCAAAGAATAAAAAGAAAATTTGCCTCCACCTTATCAGATATTACTTTTTTACAAGTAGTTGTTCAATGCAACAATCATGGTTTATGAGAATCTTGAAAAAAAGGGAAAAAAATGTGGTATGTAATTTGTAATATGACATATCATTTCATAGAATGGCATTTCATTTCTTTAAAATGTAATCAGACTACAAAAATACTTCTAAACTCCAAATCGACTTTTAAAGTCAGTTTAAAAAAAAAGAACTACCAATGCTACAGGTCCCAAGAAAAGAGATGGTGTTTGACGAGCATGTCCCGCACGCCCTCTCGCAGAGGCCTCTGATCCTGGTTGGGGGGAGGTGGTAGTTCCCAGTCTGGGTTCAGGGTGAAAGGGAACTGCGCAAGCACTCGCAGCTCACACTTGATCTGCACCCAGCCAGGGGACTTTAGGAAAGACCATGGCTGATACCATCTTTCTACAACATCAGCACTCGAACAGAGGACCTCCAGCCAGAGATGCAACACCTGCAGAAAGGAATATATCAACAATAATAATTAAGTAATCATGCTATTTAATTTCATATAATAAAAAAATCAATATATAAATAAATAAATGAAACTGTAATTTATCAAATTTTAGAAGGTTACATGAAAAACAACTTGATTGATTCACCTGTTCATTGAGTCCTAAGCAGACCAAGGACCGTAGTTTAACATCCATTTGTGCATGGACTGCATCGTGGCTTACATTAATTGCTTGCACACATCGATAGAGCAACTGAAATTTCAAAGTAATGCATTGACTATACACAATTAACATGAGTTCAATATCTAAATTCATTCCCTACAATTTTAGAGTAAAAACAGATAAAATATTCTAACATTTAAACCCTCACGTCATGAAAAAATTTGGCTTGAGGGACAGGTGACATAATCATGCCATCATGGGAAAATATGGCTGAGGACCAAGGGTGATAATAACTTCCCAATTTAAGTATTTCAGCTGAAGGCCAGGATGATAAGAATGACTACTTGCTACGAGTCCACAAAGCTCTTGCAGGGTGTTTAAACCCAGTGGATATTTAACCCATTCGTCCCGGGTATCACATATATGAGACACCGAGAAAAATAAACAATGTCGGGCTGACCGCCAGTGCGATGCTGTCTCGGGGCTGGGCTCCGAGGCAGAAGCGGCGCGCGGCCGGGCGGGCGAAAAGACTCCGGGGAAGCTCCGCCCGCCGATTTTGTAGCCGCCCGGATTTTTTTATTTTGGCTACAAAATGTACCCGGCGTGACTGGGTTAAGGAGGGACTTTTGCATAATTTCCATCAATAAATGGGAATGGAATGTACCATCAGTGAGCTCTGACTGAGTGGACACTATTTCCATGCTCAGCAGCACAGGTTGCATTACAGATAATTGAATAATATTACAAAATAAAAAATTATAGAATAACAAACTGTTACTTATTGTTATCATTATTGCACTTTGGACTACCTAGACTAATGATATGGAGAAAGAAAGAGAAAAGGAGAAAGAAAGAGAAAAAGAGAAAGAGAGAGAAAAAAAGAGAATGGGAGAGAAAAAGAGAAAGGGAGAGAGAGGGGAAAAGAGAGAGAAAAATAGATAGAAAAAGAAAGCTTAAAATGAAAATACACCTATCATTATCCTGCCATCCTAAAAAGACAATCACTGCTTCACCTCTTCTGGAGTGAGGACCTTGCCATCTTCATCAAGCCTGAAAGTCCGGCACAGCACTAAGCGTGAGTAAACCGAGGAGAAATCTCTCTCTACTTCCCTTGCCGCAGCTTCTTCGATAAACAGCCAGGGATGACAAGGGCCTCCTAATAAAATTAACATTTACCATGTACTATACATACAAAATATTTCATACAAATAAGTATCTATAACAAAACAAATATTCACAATGTTCTCACAGGTGAATGCAAAATCAATATTCCCTTTAGTACAATTACATCTGCTTTCTACTACTCTGAGAACTTACCTAAGAGAGATGTGCGCTGCATTCCATGTTGCAATATCGCCTTAATGGCTGGGCACAGAGTCCCACGCACAAGATCAGTTACAATAGCATTAATAGCATCATCACCTGCTCTGCTGTATTCCTTGCTACGCTCATCCAACACTTCTACAAACTTTGCAGGAAACCAGCCTATTAAAAAATTAATGAAATACATTAACCAGAAAATCCCACTCATTCTTTAGAAAAATAAAAAAAAAATATAAAAGTTTGAAACAAGGCACATAATTCTTAAAACAAGAATTAGCACAATTGTGGAACAAAATGTTTAAAATGCATCTCCCAGTATGAAACAGTGAACCATATAATCATATACTACTTATCAGCCTATATAATCTGAAGCTAAATAACAGGCAAATAATTCTAAAAACATGGAAGTGGCTTTTTCATAAAAAAAACTCATATAAACAAAAAAACTAAACAATACACCAGGGTTTTATTTCCAAAAGTCACCTCTTAATCCATTCAGTTCTCCTATCCAGCAGTGCTCATCACGCTGGGATATAATAGTAATGATGTCGTTCTTACGGAAACCCAACTCATCATCATCATGTCGTTCAAAATCTGTCAAGAGAAAAGGCCACAGTGAGTGCTAAGAAATGAAGGTAAAGCTAAGACATACATTTACATACTGCATCCTCTACCTGAATCTCAAGAGGATTTATGAGGATGACAACATTCCTTGCAGATGTTTCTTTTCTTTCATTCTGCCCCATTTTGAGCATTATTTTAATGTGTGGTTATCTGCTCCAGAATCACACTTAAAATTGCTTGATTGACCTTTTAAATTTATCCTGTCTGACTTACATTTGGACATCCCTTTTATAAGTCTTTATCTCATTCTTTCAACCTACTAGAGTTACTAAAAATTCTGTAGTCCTCAATTCTATGACATTTGATATGTCAATCCTCTACATAACAATTTCCTAGATCCTTTTTTAGTGCTAATTGTATGCTTTGGAATATAATCCCTTTAAGAGACTTTAACTTCTCTGACTCCAGACAAGTTGAAAAGTTCAGTTAATCTATTAATCAAAAAAAATATAAACCTCTCTTTTATGCTATTATCCTCAGTTAATTAAAATGAACCTACCCAGTAATGCCTTGGCTCTTCTGTGTCTGGATCTTGCTGTTGCTAAAAACTCAGGTAAGTCATGTGCATGAGACTCCAAAGAATAGTCTGGGGTGAGGGACACGGAACTGAAGGCTGGCTCAACACTCTGAAATAAAGCAATTCATGGATAAATAAAATATATGAGAGTACAGATTTGTTAGCAGATATATGTAGCACTATTCAATTCAATTACCAAAAACCAACAGACAGAAGAACATGGCAAACTAAGGTGAAGAAAGCTAAAAGAAATATTAAGGCAAACAACAATGTACAACTGAGGCCAAACTTAAAAATAAGCAAACATGTATGACATAAAAAACATAAAAGTCTATTCACCTGGAAGTGCCTCCCTACTTGTAGAATTGCCTCACGCAGATCTACAAGCAACTCAGTCTGGCGGATATTTTTGTTACGAAGGTCATTACTGCTACAGTCTTCACCAAATAATATCAGCTCCAGCATGGATTTACTCTTGCTAACTTGTCGTCTGCAAATATTTTTGAATTAGAAAGCATATATAAAATGCAATATGAGAAAGAGATTTTTTTTCAAATTGAGAACACAAATGTAAATTAGAAAACAGAATATTTTAAAAATGAATAGGCAAATACAAAAAAATTATATAAGAAATTATGTATAGAAAAAATACATAAAAGAAGCAAGGGAAAAAATAAAGTTAAAACTAATCATAACACTTTTTTGATCTATGAAGCTACATAGGACAAGGTATGAATGAGAATGACTATTTTCAGAGCCTATGGGATGCATCTGATGTAATTTGATTACATCTTCATCAGAAATACATATATTTCTACCACAATATTTAACAGAACCATCAAATACATGTCTTGTACTATGAAGATACTCATTCTCTTTCATATTTTTCTCTGGATTTGTCTCAATGAAAACTCTTGATTCTGGAATAACATTCTTGTTTTCAAAATTGTAGAGATAATGAATTCATTCTTAATGTTGAGACATCAAACAAATGAGAATAAATGAATTTGTGATCCTTATAATCCTTGCTAAAGAAGAGAATTATTACAAGACATAAAAAAATCAGTATCACATACTGTCATCCCCCCATCGTCTGTCAAAAATCACAGAATAAAGACTCCTGATCTGAATTATCTTTAGATAATATTTAAATTTCCAGCTAATGCAGTATGCTACATAGAGCAAGTTAATATCATCAACAAAACTGCCATATTCACAGTTAGAACACCCTTATCGCATAAAACACAACAAATGTTTTTTCAATGCATATATACCAACCTGTCATCACAGTGACGAACTCTGGTAAATGCATGTGCCCAAAAAAACATTTGTGAAGATGATCATCATCAACCAGCCTCACTCACCATATACTTGTTACTACCCTTTAAATCACTTTTATACCCATGTTTTGTCAAGCCACTGATAAGATAAGATGTCATTCCCCGCCTAAAACAATTTCAAAATCACAAATGATTACTGTAAGAATAGTAACGAGCATATGAAATTTCCTTGTATCTTCTTATGAGCATTATTATTCACTTAATACCATCCACAAACATATTTGATATTCACTGAGTAGGTAGCTTCCTGTGAAGGAAGCTTCCTGTGAAATATGATGCTTTTATCATTTATATATGTTGTTGCCATACAGGGATCAATCATTTCTTGAAATTTCAGCATAGACAAATGCCTTTTACTGATACTTCATCACACATTCCTGTCACACCTTTCACTTCTATTTATAAAGTCTCAGAAATTCAGAAGAGGTGTCCTTTGACAGTGATTTCTAAGAATAAACAAACTGGATAAAACAAAAAAAATCATAGAAGTAGTAAAATGTGAAACTAACGTACAGTACCATGATACTGACAATTCTACAACTCCTCACCTATTTAGCTGTTGCTTGGGGAGGTTTGTAGAGTGATCTGGGTTGATAAGCGCACCATGATCAGCCATAAGATATGCAAGGTGACGTCGGCGGTGGGTCTCAACCATTACATCAGTTAAGCTCCCACATACACTATCCATGACCTAAAACGATACTATGCATCAAGTACCAGTAAGAAAAAAGAAATCACGTTTATAAATCAATACCAATACTGAAATTTTTCATCAATAAATACTTTTTTCTTACCTTAAACAAGCAATCAACATCATCAATATCCCCAGGAATATCTGACAGTGCATTGAATATCTGTGCTGAATTCTCAAGGCTACGGAGCTCTGCCTCTGAAATGATACATTAACAGTCTTACATTCACAAAATATGTCCAAAAATGTACCTAACAAAGGCCACACAATATAAAACCTAAATGAAATAACATACAACCTTAACTTACCTTTAATCTTCAGCATGGCTAGAGTGACCTCAAACAGCACAATGGATCCATCCAGGAAGAATAGGTCCCACACCCTCAGGAGGATCTTCATGTGAAGCACTGAGGCAAAAAGGGTCACGTACCAATGCAAGGTGATGAGAGAGAGTTCAATGTCGTGTTCTCGTACTACAGACTCCACTCCAGGCAGATAGGTAGCCACCAGGGCAGCCAACACACGTTGATCTGCCTGTACACCTACAAGAACAAGACCATAAGACTGTTACATTATATGGAAATATTTTTGAAGCACTATAAACAATTAAACATATATGATGTTTCATATGACATCAGTGCATTATGAATTCATAATTTTGTTGTTCATCTTGTAATATGGCATTCTAAACAGAAAAAAAAATATGCTAGCTCATGTAAATTTGTATCATAAACTTAATAAGAAAAAATACTGTACAGAAGAGAAAGAAAATGGAAGCATGAATAGATATAGGAATGGATATTTATAATGAGAACGTACTTGGGATCTAATTGAATTTGAGATAAAAAAAAATTCAGTCTCAACCAGATCCAGTAAATAATTAAAATTTCTAATAACTTCCTGAAAGGCTGTTACACATGACCTTAATCCTTTACTTACAATACATCCTAGTCTTCTCCTGAAATCTGAATATCAACTGAAAAATAAGGCCCCAGCAAAGGATTTCCTCTAAAAATAAATCAGAATATGTCCTTGAGTTATTCTTACCCAGCAGAGTGGAGGAGTAGTAGGATGCAGGCAGCAGATCCTCCACTATAGTACACATTACCCAGAAAGCTTCCTCCTCTTCTAAGAAAAGCAGTAGAGATGCAGCAATCATCCCCGTACCTTGGCAATACCTGACGTGCACACCCAGTTAGTATTCAACATGCAAAAGCCAGATATGACAGGCCTAATTCTTGGCAGTTTCACTGATATGCCCATGCACATGTATGAGAAGTGGGTACAGGAGCTAAGATTTGTTATCATAGGGGTTAATAGTCTTGAAAGCCAATAACACCAGCAATGCACACCAGTCACAAATACACCATGTAAAGTTAGGAATTTCAAGTTGTTATTCATATTGTTAGTGATTATCCTCCACAGCATTAATTTGCAGACTCTAGAGTAATAAGAATTATACAGTGCTTGCTAAATAAGTGCAAAATCTACCATTATTGAATATGCACAAGTTAAAGTACCTTTACTCATGATATACAAGAGATATATAATCAAAAAGAGGAAATTTGTTTGATATATACACAGTACACAATATCAGATCTGAAACTTGTTAACTCTTCCATTACTTCCATTAAAGAGGCAACCTAGGCATACATGCTACTCTTATCATAATATGACAATTCATGAAGAATGAAGAACTGTTTTCCCTCATTCCCATCTTGC